TGTTGCTGCTATGTCTTTTCATGTGTTTTACAGGATTGCCATCTGTGGATGAATACCACTCTGAGGCACTCTCACGAGCGAAGGTGTTTGAGAATCCATGTCGGAATGATGGTCGTGTTGGCCTAAAGGTGCATTACATTGCCGATGCTCGCCACCTCCACCCTGGAACATGTTCAATTTCTGTTTCTCGTATGGAAGGACCGAACAGGTTGTTTTCCTACCTCAGTGGACCACTCAAGACTGAACAGCACTGATGGAAGAAGATTTGCCGTGATCTCGTTCACATAATCGACCTGTTTAATTGCTGTACTGAGGTGACTGCTTCATAACAATGACCATGCAGCATTAATTTTTGCATAGTACTTTAGTGCCCCTAAAATTGGAGAATATCGAATTTCTCTGCTAGCATTGTGGTTCTTTTGTGAATAAACATCACTACTCTTTTTGAGTAGCATAGCAATGACAGAGTTGGTTTAATGTATGACAAAAATGGAGCTGCTTTTTAAACCTGTACTGTATAATCAGTACCGCCGGAAGCAGTTTTTGATTGGTCCGGTAGTTTAATGGCCTTTTATACTTTGTGTGTGATATGGCGGGTACACACGTCCTCTACAGCAGGAAACATTTGTTGGTGGCCAACAAGTTGGTCCGGTGATAACCTGACCAACCAGACCGGTTCCGGTGGGCCTGATAATTGTGGGGTTCATGAGCAGCTCAAGTACTTGCATGGTTTTGGACATGTCCTCAGTTGAAACCGACTTCACCCAAGCGTTCTCTGAGGGGACCGAGGTCTACTCTATCAGTTCATGTATTCTGTGAAGTGACATGACCATTCGTGGGGACCTTGCTCATAACTGCGAAAGTCCTTGTCTGATTTTTCCGCGTCAATTGAACGTTGTACATGTGCATGTAGTGAAAGCCACATGCATAAGGCTGTTCCATGGCACCATGCCACCAAGCTCTGGGTTCATTGGCTGAACATATTCTTCGGCACAGTAAAGTCGTGCGCCCAAGAGCGTGGAAGCCTAGAACATCCAGCCTGGAATACTAAGAACACCACAGCCCAAAATTAAGAATTGCGGTGCTGGGTTTGTGCTGTTGTAAAACACGGGGATTGTTATTGATTGTCATGTTGTACATGTATTTGAGCTTTACCACTACATACACGTCTGTCTATACACAATATTCAATCTGCGGACAGCATGCTGTTTCGCTCATCAATGCAGCACAGAGAAAATGAGGCAGATGAATGTCCTGCTAGAGAGCATCGAATATAGGTATAGAATCATGCCTTGCAGATCTCGTTACGGCCCCTTCGATGCATGCATGTTTGAACATTAGACGGCTGTGTAGCTTCAGTTATCTCAGAATATGTATTTATCCAGCAGCAACAACGTTGGGCACCGATTAACTGACACACAACTATTCACTAGAATGAGTATGCGTTGGAACACTTTACCCCGAGTCATACTATAGGAGTGAGTGCCATGCATGGGTTTACCTCACAAACTGAATTTCATAATTTGACATCCAAATCACAGAAGAGTGAGTGGTGTTCCAAACTCACTCCATGTCCTGCGAGCTACAGTAGAATACTTCTTATAGCACGTTCTTAGAAACAAATCGTATAAAGTTAGGTTTGAGGCTGTCAACCCAGAAATTTGTGATTTCACAGCCATAGATGTTACCAGTCAGGTAACTGTATACAGTAGGTATGCAGAAGAAAATACTAGTAACTCCTTGTGGAAGAGCTGTGCCAAAATGTGTACAGTACAGTAAATTAATAAAAAGTGAGAAAAGCAGTGACAAGGCTGTGCATGATGTAGATCTACCAGTAAGTACAGTGCACCAGTGAAACTGTTCGTGTAGTCCCGGTATACCACTATAATGATGGCATGGCCCATGCCACTACAATCTATTTGCAGTGGGCCGCAGTAGGCCAGTGCAACAGAAAGCAATTCAGTAGCTGTGTGCAATGTGAACATCTATGATATGCAAGTAAACTGCCATACAGCACAATCGATTACTCTCAGCCCACATAAGTACAATGTAGGCCAATCAGTAGTATAGATACATAGAGCACACTTTGCATCATACATAGTCAGCACCAAATCTGTATTGTCGATGTACTTTGCAATGATGAAATGATGGCAAGCGTGCTTGATTCATCATAATACTGCCTTGAACTTGGTTGGAAGTTAGTTGTAAGTTCAGTGGTCGAGGTAAGCAGAGCTGCTCCAGCTTTCAGAATCCTGCATGAAAAAGGCAGAAAGCAAACCATTGCCTTTGGGTTATCTGTCATAATAATAATAATAATAATAAATGTAGGTATAATAGTAGCAAGCTGACGTAAAGAGCCTGTCTTTCAATACAATAATTCTATCCACTGCATGGACAGACCTGGTGCTTCATTCACCTCTGTTTCTTGCTTTCTCAGAAAACCTACTTCCTCCTTCTGCCATCTAGCTCATGACATACATTTTCTTTACGCCTTTTCAGCCATGGTCGACTTTCGCCCCTCCTGTTTGATTGGCAATTGCAGTCAACCTGGGGAATACTGACCCTCGATTGTGAATGAAAAAGTGTCGCTATTGGTGTATTGTTGTTACTCGTGAGGTTGGAAGTATGTAATCAAATGGTCACTAGATCTGAAGATTGTTATTTGCGAGTTGTTTTGTAAACCCGAGGTACATTATTCACAAGTTGGATTGTACATGCTATGGGATGTAGAATAACTAACCAAACAAGAATGGTGTAACAATGATTGAGTCCATATCCAATTGGATGAACCTAGAGCGCATGATCCATTCCAGAAACTTGAAAGGCGACTTCAGTGAGTCTTGAATTGTCAGCAGCATCATACTTCCATTGAGCTTTTTTTCTTTTTCGAAACGACCCTCTCTTTTCAATTCGAACGAAGGTCAACATACAATTACGGCAGGCATCCATGCACTGATCTTCACTGTATACATGTGCATGTATACTGCACTGTAGTCTGTACAGTCAACTAGTCGTGGTCCACTTGGCTTCCATAGGTGCAACTTGGCTTACGGTAAGTGTCACTACAAGTGCATAGTAGCCCCCCCCCCCCCCCCCCCCGGGAGTGCATGTGAACAGGAACTATGAACTGGTAAAAGAATTATTCGACACCTTCGTTCGTTTCGATGGAGAAGGTTCATTTGGCAAATTGAGGCCTTCGTTTCACCCCTAGCCCCAGGAGCGAAATTTTCACTACTTGGCTGCCTGTTTGATCCGTCCTTGTGGAAGGGTTGATTTATGCATGCCCGCATATAGACCTTATTCGATAAACATCACGATCACGTGAACCGGGGACCAGGGAGCGGCAAGAGACCTGCACTCAGTGCACAGAGGCTCGTCCAGGGAACATAGGAACAGAAAAATACCGGTATTTTACTACTGCCTTGTACGAACTGGGCCTTTCTTGCCACTTGTTTCACGTACGCGTGCCCCAGCTTACGACAAATCCCTGGAGGCGAGTCCAAAAATCACATTATCGAATAAGGTCTATAGAATTGCTAATCTAGACGTTTGGGTTTAACAGAGCAAGCCTGTGATTAAGAGTTGCACAGAACACAGATCACGTAGAACTACCCAATATGGGATCAAAACTCACAACGTTTTGGGTACTTTGGTCTCATGTCGTCTCCCCAGGTGCTATGAATCCCTGATGCACATGTATCTACATATACAATGTAACCATTACTCTACCAATGTTGCGGACGATGACCCCCCCCCCCGGCATACAGAAAGTTGCTATGTCCTGGCCCTCATACAGCATTGCGGAGGCACTTCTGCAAAAAGGACTAGCCGAAAGTGGCACAACAAATTTTCTATTCCCAGAAAAGCGGCGTTCCAGCCGAGTTTATCTTTTGATTAAATGGTTTTCTCGGTTGGGATTTCATACCTGACAACCATCCCGATTTAGCCGCGACCATCCCGACATCGAGGGCGGTAATAGGCACCCAAAAGTGCATTAGTTCCATGCCTCACCGCGAGCTATATTTGTACACATTTTCATGCCTAGGTATGTCATTCGATCTCAGGTTTGCAAAGGTTGGCAGGCATGGGATTTGTAGAGTGACCAGTTCTGACTATTGCCACCTGCTGCGCAGAAGTGTCATTCCTACATCCTGGCTGCAAACGTACCTTCAATCCCCCCCCCCCACACACACCACCACCAACAATGTTAGATCCTATTTACAGGACCTCATTCTATATGAAAGGGTAGCAGAGGCACTGCCAAAGTATAAAAACAACATTTGAAATGCAACCTCCATTGTGCATGCATGGAGGGCATGGGGAAGAGACTGAGAGGGTGAAAGTGAAGGAAATTTGTTCCGAAATCAAGAGAATCCGAGGAACCCTTGCTGCATTCTTCAGTTCGATAACGTCAGTGGGTGCATCTCAGATGTGTTGTGTGCCCAGACATACAAGTAGCACTAACCTGAGCATGAGAGCTGCTTGTCATTATCGTGGTCAGGAAAACGAAAGGACGAACGAAGAAGATTGCTGACCATGACGAACAACAGTGCATATCCAGACGACAGACGGCTTGCCAGAATCAGTCTGGTGCATCTTCAGGAATCTTCTTTCCTAATCGCATTCAGCAGTCAGCTTCGAGGTCAAGAGCGCGATGATATTTTCAGAAGGAATAATTTTAAATTTTTTTTAAATTTTGGGGAAGAAGCTTCCTTTCTAAAAAAAAGCGTTCCTTGCTTTCACGCAAGGTGCCTTGCGGGACATGTCGTCGACAGCACAGTGTCGGCAGATCCACGTTTGTAGGCTGCAGACCCGGCAGACGTTTTGATCAGCCCGGCCTGGTGGCGAGATTTCGGACCCGGGAGTACTAAAAACTGCTCGCATCCCAGGGTGCTCAGTTTCGCTCTATCCGATCGAGTAAGGCTTCCAGAAAGGCCCTCAGGTGCGCGGCCTGCGGTGCCATAATATACCTCGCTTATGGAAGTAGTTAGTTATGCGCTACTCATAAAAAAAATCACCGCGGGTGCGACGAAGCTCGAAGTCAAGCAAGAAAAATACCTTTCGAGTCAAACAAGGCAAAAGTGTCAAGCTAGCTATTCGAAATCAAGTCAAAAGTCGAGAGCTCGAAGTCGAACAGGTGCAGCGTACAGTAGCACTCCGATTCCGTGGATTGTGGAAGAGAGTGTTCATGTTAGTATTGTTACATGACTGTATCCAGATTGTGTTATATTACTTATTAGTGTAGGGCTCCTATTTTTGTTTCACTCCTGAAGTAAGTCTCGTAATGTACCAGAGCGTAGAAGTAGATCATGTCTGAAGCAGAAGCTCGGTCGCCGGAATCAGCCAAAGAGCGGCTGCAAGAGAGACTCAGTAGTCGTTCAGAAGCTGAAGCCTCGAACAACGAAGAGCTTGCAGCCAATGAAGAGTAAGTCATTATCAGCTGTGCAGTGAGTCCGGTTTACTTCTGGCTTTCTGTTTTCCATTCGTTAGTTCGCAGCCTGTGGAAGACAGTTTTTCCATACATTACTTGTAACAATTTCGCTGCTGGAGAAATGTGTGTAGGCAAGTGGTCGTGGAGAGTCTCAGGTACGGTATGGGAGCATGACAACACAGCGCTCACCTGGCAGGACTTACCTCCGCGATCACTTCCACAGACAAACATCCACAAAAACAAACATCGAACTGCAATGACTTTTTATGTTTAAAGGGGAAGTTAAGGCAAAAATTAAAATTTCACCAGTTGTAGTCTTCGGGGTGCTGAGTCGAATGGTCTTGGTCCGAGAAAGCTGAGACGCTCCCTTCCTACTTGAATCCCAATCGAACTCGCGCACTTCCACCGAAACTGGGTGACTGCGCCCTACTAGATGGGGATTTGTATGCAAAATGTCACTAAAAGCGCCATTTCGTTCTTATAAAAGCACGGATGACCGCGATTGGCCCATATGTTGTAGTCTTTTGGACGCTGAGTCGACTGGTTTTGGTCCGAAAAGGCTGCGATGCAGCGTTCCTCCTTTATTCCCAATCGAACATGGTTGAACAAGTGGTCACGTGCTCCTGGGTGCCCAAATGGCCTGGTCACCACACCAGCAGGTGACAACTTTCACACCAAGGTTCAACTCGAGTTCAACTCGAGTGACAGGACTGCACCCCAAAAAGGTCAAAAAGGCTAGTAAGTTGTACCCTGCAGGCACGGTGACCAGCTGACTGGTGTACGCAGGAGCACGTGACCACTTGTTAAACCATGTTCGATTGGGAATAAAGGAGGAACGCTGCATCGCAGCCTTTTCGGACCAAAACCAGTCGACTCAGCGTCCAAAAGACTACAACATACGGGCCAATCGCGGTCATCCGTGCTTTTATAAGAACGAAATGGCGCTTTTAGTGACATTTTGCATACAAATCCCCATCTAGTAGGGCGCAGTCACCCAGTTTCGGTGGAAGTGCGCGAGTTCGACTGGGATTCAAGTAGGAAGGGAGCGTCTCAGCTTTCTCGGACCAAGACCATTCGACTCAGCACCCCGAAGACTACAACTGGTGAAATTTTGATTTTTGCCCTAACTTCCCCTTTAGCTCCACACTAGAAGCAAAAGCATACTTCAAAGTACAACAGTTTTCCTGCACTGTTTCTTACCTTAAAGACAACACAAACTATTGCTATCAGATGAAATAGGTGCAAGGAGAGAAACCGCTGTACTAGTAGCAAGGAAAGTGCAAAGATGTAGAAGTGAGATGCAAAATGTTGTGCAAGAACGAGTGTGAAAGGAGAACTCAGCCATGCGTGTGTGATGTCCAGTCGCAGCCAAAGAAACCCGACCCACGTGCCGAAAGCAGTGCCAAGGCTCATGCGGCCCCTGCAGCCCTCAGAAATATTTTTGGAGCGTGCATGAGGTAATCGAAATGGAAACGCGGCGCTACTTTTGACTGGCGGGTGGAATTTCTTTGGCCACAACTGTCAACTGTAGATTGTGTGTAGAAACCTAGCAAGTCCTGTCAGACGGTATTCGAGTAATTATCATGCCATTGTGTCAAGTGTAAGTACCGCTTGAATGATCTACATGTACATGTACTTTGAAATACAATGCCCCCCCCCCCCCCTTGTCGGATACTGGTTGCGAGACTCACCATCCCATCCTTGCCGTTAGGCGCTGCATATGTCACCCTGGTATAATCAGGCATGGTGGTGGCCTGGCACAAGCAAAACTTCCTTAGCTGGTTATGTGTTTCTCAACACAATTGTATAGCCGGTTGTAACACGGACTTTTTTTACAATGTTATGTACGTGCTACCCCACAGGCATAAAAATAGATCATATGCGCCAAATAAGGTCAGCCTTCTTCTCATTGCATAGTAAATGCGATTAACTCACTGGTGCCAATTTCTCACAATAAATGTCATCACAAAGCTGCACGGAAAGTGTACAACGGTTCCCAGCTGTAGTAGAAAGCTCCACGCCCATCCTACGACAAGGAGGTAACACAAGCTCATATCCATGATGTATCCATTTCTCGATCTTCAAGGACTCGGCACAAAGTAACCTTTTTTGAAGTACATGTCCAATCGCACTGACCATCACCCCTGCATGTACCATAAGACATGCATATGCCGTCTTTGTCATATTCTGTTTCTTTATCTAATATGAAACTCGGATGTTGAGCCAATAATAAATAGAGAAAGGGAAGGAACATTATGGATACGAGTTAAGAGTAACTGTCCACCACTGTAACTAGATACTATAATACAGCCAGAAAGTGCAACAGCTGGGCACAAAACTGACAGAGTACTGAGACATTCGATGACCTGACACCTAGCTCTGACACATCTTCTTTATTTATTTTTATTGAAATACAAATTTAAAAAACCAGCTTTGATTGACTTGCAACATGATTGTAGAAGTGTTGTTGCTTGTGACTGCATCCAGTGCAAGAGGACGCAGCTGATCTCCAAGAGTGCGTAGATGTGTACTTGTAGGTTTTCAAGGTGGCAGGGACCATGTCTTGCAAATAGGAACAGACAATCCATTGACATACCACCTCGAAGCTATCAGGATGAGGAAGGGAGGGGGGGGGGGGCTACAATGGCTGTTGCTGTTGTTGAAGACAGATCAAAGAGAATGATTTCATTCTTGCGCATGCTTCTGCAGTATTAACATAAGCGTGAGGTTACTACAGATGTTCCTGGGATAAACAGGATATTACCCGCATACTGGGACGATTCTATGCTTCATATCAATCCCTCATGCTTCTTGGTCGCTGTTGATATCTGTGAGGTATCACCACCGTACTTGGGTAATCTCCTCTTCCTATGAAGTTATATACTCTTGGTATAATGTATGCATAGTAGTTGAACACAGTGGAGCGTGGCCATGAAACGTACCTAGACTGGTTGCCGGTGACCAGCACAGAGCAGTCTTTGTACATTGTACTTCCTGCAGCAAACTCCGCAACCGCCACTCATTGATGGGTGCATGCTGGATCTAGTGTCATCCTTTTGTTTCTTGTCGTGCATGTATTTGACAAATAATTAGACCTAGAGTACTTGGTGACTAGCTCGTGCCACCAGGAATGCTGCATTTCCCCCAAACCTGCCATCCCCATAACTGTCCTTGTTTGACTATGGACTGACTTGAGTAGGGATGCCTGACTTTTGATGATTTCCTACACTGTGATATTGGTCCTTGCAGAACTCTTGACCCGTACGGTTTTGTTCGTGGAGATCGATTTGATCATGCTGAGTATGACACCTTCAACGCTGCATATACAACTGTGTTGGTGAGACGTACCAGGCGTTGGACATCAGTTAATTATAATGCACGGCATAGAAGATGTGAGTGAGCAAGCCATTTTTTTGTTAATTGCCGAGTTGTCCTCATTGTAGCCTCTTAGGTCGGCTACTGAACTGTGTGTGTGTGTTTTGTGTGTTTTGTACATCAGTGAAGCGGTATATTCGGAAAGGCGTGCCATCCAGCATGCGTCGTGAAGTGAGTGCCGTCTCTGCCTTATACTTATTACTCCAGTATGGCTGCTGGTCTCAGGCCCCAGCTAAGATTCGGAGCGTTTTGTGTTTAGTTGCACCTGCCTGTGTTTGCGGTACTTAGTGACTAACTGACTATAGTATGTGCAAGTTCCAGGATCCTCACAATCAACATCCTCTAACTAAGCTTTTCCACTAGTAATTTCATTGCCTTGGTTTCACAACAAGTAGAAAGAAACTGACCAAGCCTATTGCATTTTATACACTTGAATTCACAATTAGAGGCCGTTTACATGAGAAAAATCAGCCCGGGCTTATTCAACCCTAACTACGGTATGTGCATGTACCCTTGATTGTATTCATGAGTGTCGCTGATTAAGTCCCTCAAAGCTCACTCTGGACATGGTGTATGCCATATTTTATGCTAAAGTTTGCCACTGTGGCATGCCTGCATAGATCCTGGTGTATGAGCATCCAAAATCATAGTTATCTCTTGCCTGCCTGTCTCTCTGTCTCTGTGCGTGTATATATGTGTGTGTGTGTGTGTGTGTGTGTGTGTGTGTGTGTGTGTGTGTGTGTGTGTGTCTCTCTCTCTCTCTCTCTCTCTCTCTCTCTCTCTCTCTCTCTCTCTCTCTCTCTCTCTCTCTCTCTCTCTCTCTCTCTCTCTCTCTCTCTCTCTCTCTCTCTCTCTCTGTCTCTCTGTCTCTCTGTCTCTCATCATTATATATAATTTTCTATGCCGGTGTGTACATGCGTGTTTTGACAGGTGTGGTTATCAGTATCAGGTGCATCGGACCTCCTGGCTGAATCACCGGGACTCTACGATGAACTGAAAGACATTTCTAAACTGGAAGAGAAACACAGCAGACCTATTGAACTCGGTAAGGTCTGCACACATTGCTATATCCAGGTTAGATTATTTCCTCACCCCCTCCCCCTCTATTTGTTGAATACTGTATGCTGTATGTGCTACTTTTCTTACTATTATTTTAAATTGACTCACCGTGTCACTGTGATGTGGCAAATGTGTTCCTTTCTTGGATTAGATAGGGAGTTGACGAAGTTTGCCACTTCTAACTTACATTCATGCATACATGTATGCATGTATGCATGTAAATTTGGTACGAATATTACTATTATATTAGCAACTGCTGGTGTTCTCTAACTCTATACTCTGTGTGTTATTTGCCATCCCAATAGACATTCATCGCACCCTTACAGACAATGTATATTTTCGGCTGGACGGGGACAAAAGCAAATTGAAGCTTGACTCGCTGCGCAATGTTCTTGTTGCCATTGCGAAGCATCGTCCATCGATTGGCTATTGTCAGGTACGTGTACATGAATGGAGAGTGACTCTAAGTCGTCCACCTGCTAGCATGATCTACGCACACATAGTGACATACACACACGCACGCACACACACACACACACACACACACACACACACACACACACACACACACACACACACACACACACACACACACACATTTTCAAGCCTTCGATATTTTATACTGTTTATAATACCGGTGAGAGGCAATGCAATACTAAAATGCACAGCGTAGCTATATTGTAGGTAAGGCACTAAGCAGCCAGCTGAAGTAAAATAACTGCAGTTGCATCACAACACACTGACTTTGCTTGCAAACTACATACTTTCTCCATCAGAAAGAAACAGAAGACAAGACAAAGTATAGAGAAGTACTAGTATGCAATTCTCCATCGTAGTAACATCATTTGAGCTGCGAGTGGCTGGGCCTGAAATGGGTTTCCATCATGTTGTTGCCTGAAATGCCTCCCCAGTACTTGATAGGCACGTTTTGCAATTGTTTGCAAGTATCGAGTGCCAAAACGAGTATTTTAAAGTGACGAACAATCGGCGGGATTGTTTCACCCCTAACTTGAAGTATTCTGTGTCTTTTTGTGTTTTACCTGGATGTCAGGGTTTGAATTTTGTGACAGCATATCTTCTCCTAATTGTGGAAAATGAGGAAGAAGTGTTTGGCTGATGATTGCCTTGTTAGATTCCTTACCTGGTGAGTGTGGCAATGGCTTGCTATCTCTGTCCTGGGACATTATAAGTTACCTACAGTCCATTCAGAAAAAGATGAGCGCTGGCTCTGGCGAGCTCCCGTATTTGGCGCTTTTTCGTAATTTTGCCGTACACGGTGCAGTGCCGCGAGATTTGAAACAGGGTCCAAAAAAGGTACCCCAGCTGGGGTTTTGAACCACAAATATACTTGCTTAATGGAGAAATAGACTTCAGAAACATAATTGGAAGAGCATTCCCCCCCCCCCTGGGATTGCTGAAAAATTGTGAGAAAAAACTCAAAATTTGACCCATTTATGGCCAAAGGCCAGGATATCATCTTTGTATGAATGGACTGTAGTGCTATCTTATGTCATGGGAGAGGGGGGGGGGGGGGGGAGGGCATTGTACTCAGAGCCTGTTACCTCTTGTCCTCGGACATTGCGCCCAGATCCTGCTCTCATGTGCTGGAATCCCGATGTATGTTAGCGAGACTGAACTTGAAGTAGCACAGGGAAGGGAACAGAAGGAATGACATTGCTATGACACTGTGTAGTCCACATACCGGGTACCGCCAAGAGTACATAACCCCCCAGAGTGTGCAACGTCGATCCAGCTCTGTGTAGGGTCTTGGTCGAGCGGAATCGGATCTTCTGATGTCATGCGTACACTTCACACCAGCGCAAGGCCGGTCTCGAGGCAGGGCACCATTGTTTTGATCCAAGAGTACCCGCGACTCCCCGGGTTCCCTCAGATGTGTACGGTATTATGACGCAAAGATCCGATTCCGCTCGACCAAGACCCTATGCAGAGCTGGATCAGGCGTTGCACACTCTGGGGGGTTATGTACTCTTGGTACCGCGGGTACGTTCTTCTTGAAATCTCGTTTTGTGCATGGATGATGTCATTGAGGCACTTGTGTTTCTTTCTGTAGACTATTATGGCGATAAGCTGCGTGGCATGCAAATGGACTGCTACGTGCTTCAGCAGCTGGTTAAGTGAGCAGGATGATATTGCCTGTGTTAGTTTATTCTCTATTCTCTCTCTCTCTCTCTCTCTCTCTCTCTCTCTCTCTCTCTCTCTCTCTCTCTTTCTATCTATCTATCTGCCTTTTTTATCTATATAATATATATATATACTCAATCTGCGGACAGAACTGTTTCGTCCTTTGTGGACTCGTCCGTATTTATTAGGGCTGAAAGAAATATTCGAATTATTCGAATATTCGAAATGTGCAGATCGGAAAAAGAATATTCTTCGTTTTAATAGAGTAGAATAAGAATGTTCGTAAATGTACAGAAACTCGCCTTTTTTTGACATCCAACAGGTTTATTTGGTGCAGAAAGTGGGTGAGATTGCCACCTTCCATGTGTTGTCATCAGCAAGACAAATGATAACATTGTCCTTTTCAAATGTCCCTCCTGTAATTGGGGTATACACCAGTTGATGGTCTATGGTTACCATGGATACAACTAGGTATCCATGGATATTGTATTGTTTAAAATATTCGGAATATTCTTCGTTTTACACGTATTATTTGGAAAGAGAATATTCGTTCGCTTCATTGAGCATTCGTTTCAGCCCTACTATCTAACGATCTATCTATCTATCTCTGCATTGATTCCCATCAACTCTCTCTCTCTCTCTCTCTCTCTCTCTCTCTCTCTCTCTCTCTCTCTCTCTCTCTCTCTCTCTCTCTCTCTCTCTCTCTCTCTCTCTCTCTCTCTCTGCATTGATTCCCATTGATTCCCAGTGATGATCGTGTAGCAGTGATGGGGTTGGTCAGCACAGCTACTACCTTGTAGGTGTGTGATGTTCACCGCAGTGTACTTGTCACTGTGTGAGAGTTTGAAGCCGATGTCATTGTCTCTCCCTGTGACCCTGTACAGAATGAAAATGCCACGGCTTCATGATCATTTCCTCCGGCATAGCTGCTCTGTGGACCTGTTTGCTACGAAGTGGTTCATTAACCTGTTCCTTGACTGTCTCCCACAAGAGGTGTGTATGTGTTGTTGCAGTGGCTGTGCATTGAAGATGAGTACTGATTTCTGTCTAGTGCTGGAGTTTCAGGCCGGTGCTACATTTGCTACAGGTACATGTACTCTTTCTGAAGTTAGTGCATTAAATTCCTTCGTTCATCAACCCCAATGTTGTTCTTGTACTTGGTGTAGTCTGTAACGCTACAGACCACTATTCCGTGTACATGTACATGTAGCTGATTTGTTTTTCTCCTCTTTCTGTTCACACACTTTTAAATCTGCAGACAGCGTTCAGAGTTTTGGATTGTTTGTTCTACGAGGGTTCTAAAGTGCTGTTTCGTGTCGCGCTGACCATACTCAAGCATGAAGAAGAGCGCCTCCTGTCTTTCTCTGACATCGGTGACCTGCTGATGTTCATGAAGGTACATGGCATTGTGCAGTGTAGATCTACAGTGCTGCTCAAAGGAATGCACAGCCCAGAGTGTTCAGAAGGCTACCACGCCATGATGCCCGGTGTTAGCTGACTAGTCCAGGCGGATATCACTGAGCAGCACTGTACTATGCCTAGCTGTGTTATTAATGTGTTATATGTGTTTAACT